AATTTTTGAATTTTTTTGAATTAATTTTTTTTGAATTTTTCCGAACGATTAGTTTGATGAATAATAAACATGGGTAATTTGTGATAATATTCAGAAAAAAACGCTTACGTAACTCTTTCGTCTGCGTTATACGGTATCGATTTAGACTCCTATTACATACTTTTATGTATGTAAAATTCCGCGCAGTCCAGTACACATTAGGAAGCACCGAGAAAGAAAATCGAGGCTAATGTGATCGACTTCAACGTTGTTCCATCTCTGAACTTAGGTAACATTCTGCATCGATGCAGAGTTCTACCTGCTGTTCGTGCCAGTCTTCATTGAACTTTCGAGGATTTTTGATTTCTTCTTTGTGTGAAACAAAATCTGTGCGTGGGAGGAGACTGAAAAACTACTACTTTAATATATGAGAAAAATTTTGTCTCAGTAAGTTCAAATGACCGCAAAATTTCCACAACTCTTTTTATCCTCACTTTCAATACTATTTCATAATGGAATATGACTATAGTATACGGTCAGGCTTTATTCGATATTTTCCGCCTATTATATCTTTTTGTTAATATTCCCTTCGCTTTCTCCGCTTGTTTTATTTTTCATAACCAAACGTCAATAAATTTTAAACCATTTTCAAGCTATGTTTTCTGGTGCTCGTAAGTATACTTGGATAATTTGAAGACGTCCATAATATAAAGTACCAATAATTTTTGCACTTCAATGCTGATGGTCACTCCCAACATCCTGTCATCCATATAAATACTTGTTTTTGTCCATATTGTTACAGACAATGTGTAACACATATTATTTACATGGGCTAGACAATATAGATTAATGTCTTAACAATTAGACCTTTACCCTAAAGGAATAGAAAAAGAATCTCAATATTGTAGTGTTTTTTTGTTTTCTGATCACGTCTGCTAGTGATCCGAATGCTTAGACTCTGCTGGGTTAAGATTATGTACATACCTTGCAATCTCTACAAGATTATGACTAGATTTTTCTGATATTCTTCTCCTTTTATTTATATAAAGAGGGCAACAAAACGTTGTTTGTTATTTTTGCAATGAACCTTCCCCTAGTCTAACAGATACGTCGGTAAGAATCCAATACTTGAAGCATATTCAGCAAACTGAGGGGTAGGGAACCATATGCCGCCGATAGGCTCCACCCCGCGCAGGCAGCTGGTACAAATTTGTATGCCTGTAAACTATAGAGCTGCGCGCTTTGTCTCAGATGTCCGCATGGGACCATTCCTTTAGGCCTAAGGCATACCTGACGCGATTCGGCTAAATCGCCGCTTTCAAGCGACTTGGCGGTTTGCCAGATTTCTACAGATTTATCGTGCGCGCTTCTCGAACGCATAGGCAGGTAGCTTGTGTAAGCTGTTGCAAATGGGTCAAGTCCTGACCAAAGGAGGCGCATTAAAGACGAATCAGAAAGAGTCGCTGTTATGCCAAATCGCGCAGCGGCCGGAATCGCGCGAGGTATGCCTTAGGCCTTACGGCGACATACATGTAGTCCTCTACACCAAACTAAGGGATAGCCAGCATTCTTTGCCAAAAAGCATCAACGACATCATTTTGTCGTTCGAAATTTATGCTTACCACGAACCGGCAAATTTTTGTCAACTTTGACATTCCTCATAATCGCTGCTTCTATTCAATACATTTCAAATTTAACTACGACTTTCACAGAGCGTTAAAATTTCTGGGATTGTTGGAGTGGTTAGCAAGGTTTGGTATAGGTATATCTTGATATTTATCTACTCATTATATTATCTGTTATATCTCATCAGTATTTTCAGATTTTTTGTGACAGCTGACCAATCAATATAATTGGGCGAAAAACGGATTTGTAGTTTCAATTTGAGATTGAAAGTTGGTGCTTTTGTTTAGTTATTTCATAATTCTTCTACTAACAATAAATTTCATTTATTCTCTTCAAAAAGTTTCGTTCAACTTATTTCTACACTTATATTTTTGAAATGCATTTCGATTTATTTGAGAAAAAGATCCATGTAAACTGGATAGGCACGATAAATTATCGTAGCACACCCACATAAAAAAATCTAAATAACAGCGGCAGAGGAGTAACGCTGATTTTTGATGACAGTTGACCGATCGATAAATTAGCGAAGAAACGAGTCTTGTAATTTTCCAAAAAAATTACTTGATTTTTGCTTTTTCGACTTTTTAGCTAAATCTCCCCAGTAGCGGCAAAACCGCTAAATTCACAGCTGCATGAGTACCAAACGAATATTTTCGAAAAGAACTGTACTCAGGCGTTCATAGCGCTGCGTTTAGAGGGAATAAAAAGCAACGGAACGTAAAATGGAGGAAAACCGTTATAAAAACTTTCGGCGACCTTCAGATTGGGTGAGAGAGGAGAGCCTGAAGTTTACTTAGGATGACAAGCCGAAACTGGCACATTTACCGTCGTCATCGGCTAGGGATTTTTGGCTGATTTTGACCGTATCTACGTATCTTGTCTTCTTTTCTCTTATCTTCATCTCACATCTATTTCTATTGCTTGTTGGGCTGTCTAGTTCCTTATTTTTCTATCCGAATTCCATAAATCCTTCTGTTGCGAATGTTTCATATGCTTTTTCGTGGTAGACGTTTTTCCTCAAAAATTACCTTACTTTTGGAATATTTTGAATATCGATTGGCCTAATTCTTAAGGTATAGAAGGCCAAAAATATCCGGGTAGGGTAAATGGCCATGGAAGACATCGACTTGGGGGATCGACGGGAGCTTATCGATCTCATTTATGGGGTAAGTACGGTAGTTATACGGTATTACTGTTCTTCGATTTTCTTAACATAACCGACTTGGAGACAGGAAAATGGGGTAAGTATGGCATTTTTACGGTATTTTTGTTTTTGCCTTACCAACATTGAGAAGACGGAAAAACTTTATTGATCTCATCCATGAGGTACGGTAGCTGGTACGGTAGTCGTACTGTAATGGTACGGTAGTCGTACTTGACTACCTTTATTTCTCTCACATTTGCCAACAGTGACAAGAAAATGGAAAATCACAAAGTCAGACGAAAAAAAAACCGAAAATTTTTGTCTTCATATTCAATTTGATGACTTGAGTAATGAGCTCGACAAGCGATACCCGTCATAAATTTATTATCTGCAACATCTAGAGTCTTTTTTCTCTTGTCTTTGAGATGAATCATGGAGAATTCAGCCAATTTGTCATGCTTTTTTTCTCTGCTCAGTATTGATAGGAGAAGTGTTTGAACTTCACTAAGACGACATGTCATATCGTCCACTGCATCTACATTGTATGGCCAACTGCACTCCATTCTCCCCTTTTCTCCTCCCAAGACCCTACCTATAATGTTTTCTAAGCGAATCCTAGAGAGTATAATCATAGATTTTTGACAAATTTGGACTTGAAAGCTCATCAATTACTAACGGGCCTCAAAAATTCCTGAGACTTATGTTTTTTGGAAGTCCGTTTTTTGTAGTTTATGATCATTTCAGGGGACTTTGAGGTTCCTATTTAAAGCGCATTACGACTAATCTGTAGGATATATCTTTTATATGAGTTTACCAAAACGAATGTTTCTGTCGACCGATTGACTGCGACTGTTTCTGTGACCGCTTCCCCCTCGTCGATTTTTCATGATAAGCGCTGAAAATTGAATTTAGTGAATTACTAAATTTTACCTCTTGTTAGAATTACTATTGAAACTTGATGTCCGCAGTTTAGGTTACTTAAAAATCATAAAAATAGCTATGACTTTGTATTGGTTTTTCAAAAATACCTGTTCACAATATTCATCTAGCACTACCGTAACCTTTTTCTAACTTTAGTAGATTCCAATATTTATTTTAGTAACGCTAAACCTAACCACTTAATCTCAAATTAATCTATTCATGACTCATAAACAGCTTGAAATTTAGCTTTTCTCGAATAATGCTTCTGATGACTTATGAAACTCCTGAAAGTTTCTACAGTAATCCTGGAGCGATGGCAAAAAAGTAAGAACTGAAAAAATTGTCTGCGATATACAGGTTTATGTGCCCGTCACTTATCGAAGAATCTTATCTTGAGATGTGCAGAGTAAAAAAAAAGCCTTCTAATGACGTAGCTTTTATTTTTGTGAAATTTAAACTGAGTGCATTTTTGTATAGCTCAAGTATGCTTCACAAACTTTCGAATTAGTCTGATTGTAAGATTATTTTACACAGAAAAATGTTGCTTTCTATTTCTGCGATTAAAATGTCTACTTACACTTTTGAAAATGTAAAAATCCGCGATTCTGGTCACAAATTTTCGCCTCAAGCTTACGACGGACCGAGCCTAATGTTTAGTCCAAGAGCGTTCCAGAAACAATCTTATAAGGCAGCTAATAGAAAAAAAGATAAAAACTTGTGAATGACTGTTCGAGCCACATTTACAAATGTCGCGAGTAGTGGTATGTAATTTCAACTTTCACTGTTTGTCTCTTTTTGCCCTCACGTTACAACCAAAGTGTTGATGAAGGTAGCAAATTTTCACTGAAAGAGGTGGAACAGCATGTAACATTCGAGAAAAATCTTTCAAAGGTGTTATGATTGATGGGAGTGGCTACACAGCTTTTTTTCAGGCACTTGTATCTTGATTTTTGGCGATTTAACTTTGATGACCATTCGATAATGAAACCTTCAAAGTTCTTAGAAAGCGATATTGTCTTCTAGGCTAAAAACTACGGGAGAGTATTTTACAAGCAACGTTTAGCGAGTTGCGATTGTAAAACTTTGTCGAGAGTGAAAAGAGAACGGACAAAGAATTTATCAAAGAAGACGAGTAGAGTTTGCAAATTATTTTTCGAAGCGGCTAGTGTCCTATAAAGGCCATACATACTGTATTTGTACTGCTACCAAGCATGTCGGTGAGTATTAGAATTATTCAAGTGTGTGATGAATTGCAATTGGTTTTAATTTCTCAGGTAGATCAAAGATCAATGGTTCAAATTTAGCCACGAAACGATCTATATATCTTTAGAATCCGCAAAAACCAGAAGTTAACGACACCCCGTCGGCATCCAGCAACACCCTCACACCCTTAACAGAAAATAAGAAGAATCAAAAGAAAGAAAAGGTAAGTACCAACTGTGGCTTTGATTTTATGCCCCCCCCCATAAATCAACACATTATTTCCAGTCAAATGTCAGTTGCTCTTTGGCCACCGTTGTTATGCTTTTTATCCTGGCAGTCGCCGCCGCACTTTTGGCTGGTTTCGCAGCTTACTGGTTCACCAGACAGAAGTTCGAAATGCAAATGGCTGAGATGACTTATGTACCACAACCGAGGCGGAACATGTGAGTACGGTAACTGTGGACTCCGTTTTTTCCTTGACTGTTCCTTCTGCAGAAGGATGCATGCATGCATGTTTCCTTATCCCTGATCTGATTTCTAATAACTTAATCTTCTGCTCAAATCCTATTAGATTGGTAAAATAAAGTCGTGAAATTATAAGGGAGTGGAAATGGTAGCGATATAAAATTGTGAATATCTGATTTTAGTCAATATGTGGTATTTAACTGCCATTCCACCAAAGAAAAAATCCTCTCCACACTGATAGATGAATTACTGCTGGTCACTGTCATAGTTATTGTACAGTTACTTTTTTATACTTATTATATGGTCAAGTCGGGACACAATTTTTCTTCGGTAAAACTACTAGTTTGGTTGGTCAAAATCCACGAACTTTATAACGTTATGATTGATGATAACTTTATAACTTTTATAACTTTAAAACTCTTATAACGTTATGATTGATGATAGTGGCTACACACTTTTTTTGGCGCACTTGTATCTTGGTTTTTAGCAATTTAGCTCTGATGACCATTGATAATGAAACTTTCATAATTCTTACAAAAGCGGTATTGTCTTATAGGCTAATAACTACGGGAGAGTATTTTACAAGCAACGTTTAGCGAGTTGCGATTGTAAAGGTTTTGTCGAGCGAGTTTTTTTACGCTCTAGAGCTAATCATTCATTCTTTCCTTCAGCTCCTCATTGTCTTTCGTCTATATTTCCATCATTACCGGCTTCTAGACCTCTCGCTTCGCTCTATCAAATCGACACTTTTCGAGAACACAATTATCCATGTGACGGTCACTTACTTGGCGAACAGCTGCCTTCTGTGTCCTTTGAGAAAACTGTAACCTTCGCTACTTCTTTTCGTTCAAGACATTCAAAGATTCGATAGCTAGCAACACCTTTCTTTCTTTCTCATAGAAAAAGGTCGTGAACATCTTACACCAAAATGTTCTTAGCTGGCTTTCCAAAATATGATGTTCAATTTCTTATAGGGCATGAGATGCCTTCTATAAATCACCTTGGTCACCTGCAGAACAGATACTCGAATTTTGGGGCAAAAATTTGAAAAAGTTACAGAACTGTTTTTTATGAGTTAAAAAGGACAGTGCTGATATCCCAAGCATTACGCGCAATGAATACCTTCAGTCTGAATAATTATGTCCATTATATTCCATTTACGCGCTCGAGAAAATTTTTATTTTTCATAACTCCATGCCCTTCTAAAGTGAAAACGCTGAAGAGCACTTTGATTGAATACTATTCACACCTATTATTGTTGAAGCAGTATACGTTTTCATTTTTTTATTTCCTTTTTTTCTTTTTAGTAGTGTTTTCGTCCTACAGTGTCTCGTTCGATAACCAAGTGTCATCCATCATTTTTCGTCAGATTCTTTGCTTCTAATTCGATAAAGATCGATACCATCTTAACCCAATCTACGAAACCATTACTTGCTCCTAACTCGTTATGAACAGGCAGAAAATGTTGTCTGTGGAGTGTATTCAGATTACACAGATTACATACTAGATTTTTTAACTAGAAAAGTAACCTGTAATGCAAAAAATTCAGTTTTCTTTCCAATTTCAGAATTTCTTAGAAGCAGCTTAAATAACGCATGTTAATTGAAAACCTAGTTAGCCTTCCATTTCTCATATTGATATTCTCAGACAATCGCAAAACAGTTTCGGAGAAAACTGAAGTCTTAAAACTTTCGGGGGGACACTCCTACTGGAGCTGCCAGGTAGGGCGCGGCCAGATAGGGAGGGCCACCCAAACGGCCCAATAGGAGCGTCCGCCCCGGAAGATTTAGAAGTTCAGTCTCCTTTCCCCGGAAGTATTTTGCGATTGTCGGAGTTGATACATGAGTTTCAGAGTGACAAGCTAAATTGCAGAATTGTATGGTTAGTCATCTTTTTTGCGACAGACTTTCGCACTTTTTGAGCGGCGTGCGGGCAATGTGTGAGACTTCAGATCTCCATAAGATACGATAGTAACCATCGACTTCGATTAAGTGTAGTGGCTAGAACGTAAATAGCAGGACTATTTTGACAGGATATGACTAACTCCGCCCTAGTGGATAGCCCCGCCCACTAAATCAATCATAAGCAACGCAGCACATCTTTGAAAAATGAGCATTGTGAGAGGCCTCATACACGACTTGCTGACTCATTTTGAAAGCAAGAAAAGAAAAGCGATAGATCTTTTCTCTTTAAAATCGAAACAGCGCAACCAAATGGTGGGACAGCTGCCCAACGACCAGTTTGCTCGTGATGGGAAATATAGCGAGTAAGAGCAAGGAAGAGCGCGCAATTGAATTAATTTTTTGGCCACTTTTTGTATCTGTGACGATGCTCCTTCCATGTGTCACCTGTTATTATTCTCAAATCTTGAACACCGGCAATTTTTCCTTGGGGATTTCCTAACCTTCCTAAACGCAGTTGCGAGAAGAAAAAGAGAAGGGAGATTGAAGAATTAGAGTAGGAAGTAAAATTGTGGTGCGTGATTGTTGGATCGTCTAGAGAAGCCACAACTACTTTGAGATTGGGGAGTGAGAAAAGGCTGCTCATCTTATTTTCGAACTAGCAAAAAAAACCTAGTCTTCTGATTTTCAAAAACCTGCTGTACCTTTTTTACGTATGTTGTTTTTATCTGAAATGGCTGTAAGCATTTAGGCATGCAACTTATGAATATGAAGAATTGGCATGCCTTAAGAATTTTGGATTACACTTCCCATGGTAAAATATGCTTGTTCTTTCTGAATAAAATAGATTCTCTGATTATCACTGCAGAACTTTGAACATTATACTATATTAGTATCTACCAGAGGTTTTCCTCCTCGTGCTAGCCGAGATTCTTACTCCTACATTGGAAATTTTTCTTAGAATGCACTTGAAATGTAAACCATCATTTTCGACAGGGACTGAGCTTTCTTCCTATCCTTTGAGTATATGTAGTTCAGGTCACTCTTGGCAGCTCAAGATGAGATGTATGAGGAAGATGAGCCAACTGTTGGCCCCACTCCTGACGAGCTTCGTTTACCCCAGAACTTGGTACCCATATGGTTAGGTTTTTTTTACATACAAAGTGATTGATTACACCAATATTGCGGTCACGCAGCATACGATTTGTACCCTGTTGTAGGTATAATCTAACCCTAAGGACATATGTGCCCGGTGGAGCTGCGACCGTTGACGAAAAGAACCTTACTACCGATGGAAACATTATGATAAAATTAAATGTCTTAAGTAATACAGTAAAGGTGAGGATTTACAAAATCAAACCTCTGTTTTTGATCACATCCATACATTTTTTGTCACAGATCACACTCAATGCAAAAAATCTAACTCTCCCGTCTGATGCCTCAAAAGTAAGAATACTCACGGAGGTTCCACATGTAAGTTGCATTCTCACTTTGGCCCTCATACAATACCGCTCATAGAATGTGCAAAATTTCCGTGAGTGTCGCGGAATTCCGGGAATTCCGCGGACGTTCGCGACATTCACGGAAGTTTTTCACTGTGAGCGATATTGTAGTAGTCGTAAAATTTACCAAAATCACCAGTAGTGCAGTGGCGCACCCTGGATTCCTGTTCGGGGGGGGGGGACAAAAAATTTTTTCTGATAAATGTGGGTGGCGAAGCCACGCACTTCGAAAAAGTTTTCGTGCTTTCTAAAATCTTTGCGAGCCCATAACCCCGGAATTTTAGAAAAAAGGGTCGTGGCTGCGAAGAAATATCCTTCATAGTAAAATGAATTTTCAAAGAACTTCAAAAAATATTCTAATTATTCGCAAGTACAAACAAGTCAGTTGCACATTTCTACAACTCATGTAAGGTCACTTCCAAAAATTTCAAAAGTGAGAAAAGTAGAACAGTTGACCATCAGAGTAATTATAGATGTCTTTTGTGTGAATCGTGAAACCGAAAATTTTGTACCCAATCCAAAAATCAAAAAAAAAACAATTCTTCAGAGATAAAAGATATCATTTAGTTCAAACCTTATTAAATTAATTTCAGGAGCATCACAAACGAGAAGCACTTAACGAAACTGAAGTGGTAAGTTCACAAAAAATTTTTTGGCTTTCAGAACCATATTTCTTAAACAATCATATAAACATCACAAATTTCCAAACATATTGATAGAGACAGAGAATATCACAATCACATACCTGCCAGTTTTTTTTCTTTTCATGGAAATCCTTCACATGTCTTTTTTCGCGCAATAGATTGCGGAAAATTTTCAAAAGAAATTTCTCTTCTTTTTCTTCTTCTTCAAGATATCCCAGTCTCAATCTTATATATAAAGCTGAATGTCTGTTTGTATGTATGTATGTATGTCTGTCTGTATGTCTGTCTGTACGTATGTTCTGAATAGAAAATTCCATTTCTGAACCGATCCGGACCAAACTTGGCACACATACACTACGGGCCCCGGCGGGTGTCATAGGCTACTTTTCGTCATCGATCGATATCGATTTTATCGATTTTATCGATTTTTTGCAAAGTTTGAACTACGGGGCTGGGAGTTGGCACAGGGGGGTAATCGAGCATGCTGATCATCCCCAAGGGGGGTGATCAGCATGCTATTACACCCCTGTGCCAAATTCCAGCCCCCTAGCTCGAATTTTCAAAAAATCGATAAAATCGATAAAAGTAATGGATGATCTTGAAAACTAATATTGTATTCGTAATCTGCATGCTCGATTACCCCCCTGTGCAAACTCCCAGCCCCGCAGGTCAAACTTTACAAAAAAATCGATAAAACCGATAAAAGTAATGGACGATCCTGAAAACTAATATTGTGTTCGTAATCAGCATGCTCGATTACCCCCTGTGCAAAATCCCAGCCTCGCATGTCAAAATTTACAAAAAATCGATAAGATCAATAAAAGTAATCGATAATTCTGGAAACTAATATTGTATTCGGAATCCCCATGCTCACTTCCCCCCCTGTGCCAACTCCTAGCCCTGTAGGTGAATTCTGCAAGAAAATCGATAAAAATCGGTAAAATCGACATCGATCGATAACGAAAAGTGGACTGTGACCCCCGCCGGGGCCCGAAGTGTATGTGTGCCAAGTTTGGTCCGGATACGGCGGAGCCGGGTAAGCCAGCTAGTAATTTATCCTTTGATAACAAATACCTCCATTTATCTTATCAGTTTCCTTTTTCCTCCATTTTTTCATCTGTTTTGACGAATTCTTCTTTTAAGTTTTGTCTAATCCTATACCACCTCTATGCCCAAGGAGCTACATAGTGATTCAGGTGACAAAACCTCATCAAAAATTGCAATTTTTCAAATACATTATTTGTTTACAAGTATCGATTGGAAAACTGACAAATAATTACTCTTCAAACTTGTCAAACATTTTGCCCTTTCTTCTTGTTTATTCTCGTTTCATGATAATTTTTGCTCACGAATATCGATATTTCTAAGTTTCATTTCAACTTTACCTATCTTGATCAAATTTCTGCATTTTGATCTTTACTCCTCTGAAAACAGTAAACTTTGCAAACACATTATCGAGTTCTAAGGCCACTGTTTTAGATAGGTGAGACCTCTAATTTGGAAATAATCGGATTCGAGTCTGTTTGGCAGGGACTGTCATCACTTATTTCAACGGTTAATCATCATTTGATTTTAGCTAATCTCAACTTTTTGCTATGTCGGCAATCCCAACAATAAGCTAAACAAAAATTTTTCTTTTCCGAAATTTTCTGGCATTTTTCTATCAAAAAATGAAAAGTAATATGTTTGTTGATATTTGTCTTATGTCTTCTTCGTGTCTTCCTAGTGAATCCTTTCAGGAAGAAGAAAAACCAGAGGAACTTATAAACATGACAGTGGCAACTGATCTCGAACACGAGCCGATCATAACCCAGCATCACATGCCTGAATTAGTACCCTATGGAGTCTTGGTTAGCGAGATACTCTACAATGCTACATTGGAGCAAGTGATGCTGGTTCTGGACAAACCATTGCAAGCTGAGCAGGAGGTTATTGTACAGGTGAGAGATGTATCATTTGTACAATGAAGTCCTTTGTAAGTTCAAAATGTGAAGTGCACACCACGCGCTGCATCCTACGACTAATACTAGAAAAGTAGACCCAATTTTTTTTGTTCCACTGGACGGGAACTAGGCAAAGACGATTTTCTCCGGACTTCGTCAGTGATGGAGTCGTATATTTCCAAAATACTTAGATACAGCTCTGACTAATAGTTCTTCTTCTCAAACTGATTTGGAAGATTTGCCCTTGTTTGCATGAAATTTATTATAATATTTAACAAATTTTTACTATTATCTTTTCATTTATTTTTATTATTTTTTCAGCAAAGGTAGGCGCGACCAAACATACTTTGACAGTTTGGTCGATTACAACAGCTTCCATGAGCGTTTACAAAGGAAAGGTCGTCGATTGTCGCGCGTGGTGTGCAAACTCACATATTGTGTCACAAATTCTAGTACAATTGTGCTATTAAAGGAGACAAGGAAGTCTAAATTTTTCTTGAAATAGATATGCAATGTAAAATGTGAATTAGTTTTTTGATTACCCAAAATGACTCACCCAAGTTCAGATGCCGTTCAGTGGCTATATCACCGAAAATGCTGACGGTCTTCACCAATCGATCTACCGAACAAGAAATGGCTCTAAAAAGTAAATTGACGACAACTACCTCAGACATTTACCCATAAAAAACTCCAAGTACCTCTTTCAGGGTATTAATCTTCACATCTCTCCAACCCGGTTCAACTCGCAGCATTTACCCGAGTTTGGATGAACCACAATATCAAGCACCACTCTCTTTGACAATTCTTCATCCAAAGGGCACTGTAGCCCGAGCAAATGGCATGGAGATTACGGAGTCGAGAACAGAGTGAGAAAGAATGTTCTGAAAAATTTGAGAGTCTATTCCTTACAAATTACAGGGCTGAGCCACTCTGGGAAAAGACATCATTTGCTGCTACTGAAGCTCTCCCCACATACCTTAACGGTTTCGTTGTATCAGATTTTGATAGTAGGGAGGCGACTAGCAAGAATGGAGTCAAGGTAAGTCCTTCATAGGATATAAATTAAGTGCCCAGAACCTGGTGAGAAGGAAAAATGTTAGCTGTAAATGTCCACTTTTATTTTTTATGGATAGTAGAAGATGAATTGCACTTTCACACCAATAACACAAAAGAAGCCGAAAAGGAAGAGTGCGTATGGCGCAGTGCGTAGTGGCGCATTCACGGTTCAAGCGACCAAGGGTTCGATGGCGCGCAATGAATGTTTACCATCTTTCGGGGCATAACACTCTTGATGATAGCATACCCATTGCTGAGCGCGGTGTTTTGAACCCTGGCTGATAGAAAACTTGCTCAACAACAAGAAATTGTTAAAAAATTTATCTTGCAACTAAAAAAACCTTTTTCCGAAAAAGAACTTCGATTATAAAACTTTCAACCGTTTTTTTAGGACTGCGTCGTATAAATGTTCAAGTATACCATTGGTTGCATTGCTTGAAAATTTCCGATCATTCATTTTCGAATTTTTTTTTCTAGCTGAAATGAAGTGCCAAATCCCATCACAAAGATCTTGGTAAATTTCGCAAAGCCACAAAATTCTAAAAATACACAACATCAAGATTGTAATTCCCTTTAAATCAACGTTTTCCAGTTCTCAATTGCTTTATTATTTTAACCTTATTTCTTACCTTGCTGTTGATTTCCGCTTAAAGTGTGAACAACTCAAAAGATCTTACTGCAATTCTTAGGTTCGCGTCTATGCTCGCCCAGAAGCCACAGAATCTGCTAATTCTACCACGTACGCCTTGGAAACTGCCACAAAGGCGTTGGATCTTCTCCAAGACTACTTTGGAGTGCCACTTAGTAGCCAAAAACTAGGTACAGTATATTCATAAAAACCATAATTTACTTATCGGCGACAATTTGTTATGATTTAGATCTCTTCGCTGTTCCTGTAATGGAAGGCATGCCAGCAAGTGGACCTGGACTCATATTTATGCCCGAGGACGAGCTGATAGTGAGCTCATCCAAAGGCACAGTGGAGGAGAAAGTCAAAGTAGCACGAGCATTAGCCAATCAATTGAGTCGTCAGGTAAAAATCCATATTCCCCTACTTCGAACACACCCTATAACCTTATTTAGTGGTTCGGCAACCTCGTAACGCCTTCTGATTGGCATGCCCTTTGGCTCAATGAAGCCTTTGCTAGTTATATGGAATATTTCTTGCTACAAAAACTGTTTGATGGAAATGTTGATGCGGTAAGAACTTTTCACCCTTTCATCTAAGACCTTGTTTTTGTATCGAATCAGATCAAACGTTATTAGACAGACTTGCGGACGAGATCGGACAAAAAAGTGAATTGATCGGTTCGAAGAAAATTCTTTCTGTCAACTTACTGTTTTTTTTTTGCAAAATTTGATCAAACTCGAGTGCAATGAACGAACAGATTTTGTCACTGTTTTCAAGAAAAACGACCCTATGAAACTGTGAAATCGATTTTCAGTAGACAGAGATGTAGTCAATGACGCAGTTATATATAAACAATTACTTAGAAAGCAGTAGTGGACTTAAAAGATAGGGACAGGTTACAAAAATTTTCTAGAAACATTTTATCGATTGTAAAGAAAGCCAAAGCACTTGTTATTTGTAAATCATGTAAAACTTCTATTTAAAGATTCGTATCGCACGCTAAAAAAGGTTTTCGAGTTCTACAAAAAGATTTCTGTCCTTCCCCTACACAAAATAGACGTTGTGGGATCGCCCCTATTAGACAGATACATACATCAAAAACGAATTATTCTCAAAAGTATTGCAATATATTTTCTAGCAAAGCTACCAAACTGGTGAAGCTCTCGAAAGAGCACTAATAGACGATGCTCGATCATCATCTCATCCATTAACGCTGAATATCGAGACTGCTGATGAAGCTCAGGAACTCCTGGACAAGACCACTGCTGACAAAGTGGGTTCTTTTCCATTTTGACTAGGCAGTAGAAATTTTCCATTATCTTGCAAGCAATTTCAATTCGTGATCTTCTGTACCAACTAATAGCAGAACCTTCTTTTCACTATTACAAGCACTTTACATAATTTCTCGGAATTCTGCATTTTCAGGGAGGTGCCTTATTGCGAATGATCAACGCTGTAGTAGGTGAAGAGGCTTTCCAGAAAGGAGTGCAGGTAACCATCTCATGTTGTGATTTTTTTTCTAGAACGAAACGAGATGAGAGACTTAATTTGGCTATAATCACTTGCTTTTCTTACATGCATTACGCCCATCTTTGTGAAAATGCGGTATATGTTGCATTTGCAGACTTACTTGAAAAATCATGCCAATGGAAACGCGAACTACACGGACTTCTGGGAAGCTTTGAATAATGCAAATGGTGACAAAGTAAGTTGAACGGCTATGTAATTAGATAAAACGTGGCATTTATCAAGCTCCTTGAGAGATATAACGAAGTTTTCAGCTTACAACATGGAATGGAAACAAATTGAAAATGGAGGAATTTGCCGAGAACTGGATCTTGCAGGTGAACGTTGTTCTAAACCTCGATATATACACTGAGGTTTTCTCAGAAATCAAGCTAACAGCATAACACCAAAATTAGTTACCTCTAAGTAAGTTTTGCAGATGGGCTACCCTGTCATCGATGTGTACCGACTAGATGCAAAGACAGTTGAGCTTACCCAACGACGATTCAAGGTATGCTATGAAGTTTTGCACTGCTTTCATGATTTTTTTTGAACACATGAACAATATCCACTAGAAAGCTTTAACAATTTCAGTAAAAGTTCCAAGAAGTATAAGTTGTGTTCTTAATTTATCCCCAATGACATGAAGCTTTTTTTTACTAAGTTTCGTTTGCGATACTTCCCTGCCTTTTCTTTTCCTGTCGTTCCCAGATCAGGGCCGGTAGTAATCTGGTCGAAACTCTGAGTTTAGAGCTGCGCGTTAACTCAGAGTTTCGTTTTGAAACTCAGAGTTAACTCCGAGTTTCGCTTCTGAAACTCGGAGTTTCGTACTGCCACTTGCGGAGCCGCTATCAGGGCCGGGCACCGATGGTTTGGGGTCAAACTGGACTTCGTTTTTGGAGTTAGAAGCAACGGGGACATCGTTTTTATGAGGTCCTGGAGGAAGCGCCAAAAAAAACACGACGAACATGTCAGGTTTCACGAGTTGAACGTGTTCTTTCGCAAGCGCGCGAATTTCAAATGCAAGACTCAAACAAACAAATGGCTTGTTTACAGCGCACAAACAATCACATGGCTCCGAATTTGGGCTATGTGTATACAATATTGCTCCAAACTATGTTACGTAAAAAGTTCGCAAAACTTATGTGTCCTAATATCCGTTCTCGAATTTGTTGGTTTCTAGACCAACTACCAAACCAACTGGGTTGGTTCGGAGCATAAATATCGGAGAGTTCACATAAGTTTTGGACTTTTTTGATTTGGACGATTAGAACGGTCAAAAATCTATCATATAGTGAAGAAAGCGGATCAAACCGTTGCCTCTCCCCTTTTTTTGAGTCAAAAGTAGTATAATTCTAGGCGTTGATAGATATCGCGCTCCAATCACTTGCGGTGTCCCTTGAAATATGTGGCGAAAAATGCATCGCAGGATTGTTGAGGCTACAGATTTGGTTGACTTAGGAGATTTTCGACATTCCCAGCATCAAAATGGTACTATACCCAATGGCAGAGCCTTTAATCGACTCGAAATGTTTTCTTTTTGCTTTTTTGTTATATTACATACCTCAAAATGCGCTTTTTTCGCTTTTTTTGTTTCTATTTTGGTTGAATACGGGTTTCTCTACTGATTTTCACGTCGAGAGGGACTTCGTAAGTTTTCGCGAAGTCATGGGGGACTTCGTTTCCCAAAAACCTCCAAACCAACGCGTGCCGGGCCCTGGCCGCTATGGTTGTTGAGGAGCTACCACACGCTTTATCGCAAAACACTCCCACTAGATCGGGAGTCAAACTTCCGTTTCTAGACGCGAAGCGCCTAATACTAGACCACTAGGCTACAAAGACACATTTGTCAGTTTGCCGCAACTGCCCAATGAATCCCCGTAATTAAGACCTCACATGTCAAGACACGTGGAGAGGCGTTAAGGCTTGCCTGTGAGGTGCCTAGCAGTGGCGGCTTCAGAGCGGTTCCGAGGGGGGGGGGGGGATGAGCGGCAAAAATTTTTGTTCAAATAAACGCACTCTGAAAATTTTTTTGAGGTGCATCTCAAAATTCTTGCGGGTCTAAAGCCCCCGAAAATTTTTTTGCAAGGCTAATTTGAATTTTTAAAAAATTCTAAAAATTATTTTGATTGTTTACAAAAATAAACAAATTATTTGCACATTTTTATAGCCCATGTAGGTAAGTTTCACCCCCGCGCCCTTCAATGCTACTGGTGCCTAGCCGTAATATATCCTAAAGGTTCTCAAAAAAGTAGTAGGATAAAACATGGACATAGACAGTAACCTAACAATCCGTCCCCCTCCCCTCTCACCATATTTTGATATGCTATTGAACTTGATATAATTCGAAAGTCTGTTAGTTTCCAAAATTTTCGAATGACCTAGATCTATAATTTGTAATCTTGAAATAGACCATTATTTTAGGAAAATAGACTTCAGGTACTAAACAAAGTATACAGGTCATTCGTAAATCGACTGTTAGAATTTCAAAAGACCTCTGAATAATGTAGCAAATTTCGAAAAATTTTTCTCGAGGTTTCTGTTGACACAATAAAAGAAAAAGAGGAATAATTTAGAAAACACTCACTGGTACTATTACTTTTTTGCTAAGAAAGTTTAACTTGACCTAAGATTTTTGCCGCTCTTCCGTATATGCCCACCGTAATAATCCTCATTGAAAACGGACAGCATGATCATAATTGCACTGTCAAGTGAACTCAGTGGCGAATTTTTATGCAGTTCAGTAAGATTATTCCACCACATCTACTGCAGCCCCATCGCATAGTCTTGCAGTAAGAAGAAATAGTAAGTATCTAACAGTGGCGGACCGAAGGGGAGGCTCCCCCTCTCCCCGGAATGGGTCGCGAAATTTTTGCAATTTACTTACTATGTTCTAAAAATGTGCAAATGACTTGTTCGTTTTTGTAAATAATGAAATATCTTTTAAAATTGCTTGAGATTCAAATTAGCCTTGTAGAAAAATTTTTTGGGGGCGTAGCTGCTGACAAGCCCCCTTTTCCTATAATTTAGGGGTATGGGCCAGCAAAAAATGTTAAGAAGCACCCCGAAAAATTTTCGCCATGCACCTTCACTTGAAAAATTTTTTGTCCCCCTTTCCCCCTCCTCCCGGACGGAAATCCTGCGACCGTCACTGGTAACTAAGTATTTAGCTAAACTTCCCCTGAAAAAAGTTCTAAGTGAGATTTTTTTATCCATCTACCGTAAATCCATCGAAACCCCTTTTTGAAAGGTTTTTTCAAGCGACTATGGTATTTCTGATTAACGTGCGGAATTACCCCACGAAGCCAATTTTCATGAAATCCTGTGGTTTTGGGTAGTCTACCGTATCTCTTCTCCGCTATAAACCGCTGTAGTGAAAGACGCGCAATGCGATCGTAATCAACACACCGCGTAAAGCCACTGACCCAACCAATTTCAAATCTGTTATGGGACTTTGGCTTTCAACAAATTCCTACAGTAACCCTGCTCTATCTCTCCGCGGTGAAAAATAATTAACATATCTGAATTAGCGCAGCGAATAACCCCGCCAGACCAAGTTTCAGTCATTTGCTTGAATCTTGCCCAACTACCGTATTCCTACCGTAACCTCGCTATGTGGGCGAATGGCGAAAAATACCGTATTCGTGATCAGCGTGCAAAAAAACTTCAATGTACCATGTTTCAGACAATTTCGTGATTTTCGTCTAACTACCGTATTCCTACCGTAATCCCGTTCTGTGGCCCCGTAGCGAAAAACGAATGTTATATTCGTGATCAGCATGCGAAATAACCCTAGTGTACCAAGTTTCAGCCAATTTCGTGACTTTCGCCCAACTACCGTAACCCTACCGTAACCCTCTTGTGTGGGCGAATGGCGAAAAATGAGCATCGGATTCGTGATCAGCGCGTCGGATAACCCCCGGGACCAAAATTTTGCAAAATTTTAAATTTTTGTGTTCAACGGTGCACCATGATACCCCCATCATGCTTCATGAAACTCGGAGCAAAATCTACCCCGGAGGACTTTTTTCTGGACCTCTGCGTTTACGCACTATTTCTCTTTCTCTAACCAAACTCGGAGTTAACTCCGAGTTTCGCGGGCGGCTGAAACGCGCAGCAAACTCACAGTTAACGCGCAGCTGAGCTGCGCGTTTCGTCGCGTAGCGTCTCGCGTGGAACGAATTACGCTACGTTTCCATACTTTGCCTAAAGTACGTCTTGCGCGGTATCCTGCCATATCACCCTTTCCCCTATTTGGTTTGCTTATGTAGGTGTTAATGGTCCCTGAAAGGTGCGTGTTAACTCAGAGTTAACTCAGAGTTAACTCTGAGTTTGAGCTGCGCGTTTCGACAGGTTTACTACCGGCCCAGATTTATTTTACGAGTATATGGAAGTTCAAGGAGGACAGCATTGACTAATTGAAACTTTCGATATTTTTGCCTATTTTTGGGTTTATAATTTATGTCCTACATCAGAAGTGACCCCTAATACTATGCATCTCGAACTATATTCTTCACTTTTACTATTTTCTCAGATTTAGCTAGATCATCTGACTCCTGAGCGAGCAAAGTACCGTAATGCGCTTTACTGGTACAAATGGGATGTACCACTTTTCTACGAAGTAGCTGGCGAGAAACAACCTTTGAACTGGCTACACGAAGGTAGTTCATTCAAATAATTAGCGAAACCCGTCCTCTTTGATCTTATCTTAGCTGTTCGTATTCCGCTCAATCTTTCCGACACATTGCTCATTAATCCCGAGTCTTTGGGCTACTACAGAGTAAACTATGATGAGCAAGGCTGGGGCAGTTTGGCTGATCAATTACAAAAAGATCACAAGGCATGTCTGATTATAAAAATCACGTTTACAACTCAATAGAACCAGAATTTTTAGAAAATCCCTGCATCTGCTCGAGCTCGCTTGATTTCTGATGCTCTAGCTTTAGCAGAAGCTGGACTACTACCATATGATGTGAGTTCGTAAAATATGGTGAATTAATATAAATCTTCTATTTCAGAAAGCCTTTGGTGTTTTGAAGTACCTACCACAAGAAGACAGCTATTTGCCGTGGACGGTAGCTTTAAGAGGACTGAGAAGCTTATATGAAAGACTTTCTAGGACGGAATTAGAAGATGAGGCACAGGTTCGCGTAGATTTCTCGTAGAGAATTCAAAACAAAACTTCATAAACGATTCAGTTGTTGATAGCATGAGCTTGATGTCATTAGAACTGTAAGTCTACTTTGGAATTTTTCGTTAGCATTCCAAAAAAGTGTACATTTAGACCATGAATTACCAACTAATAACTTTTGCAATTATGTTTGAATAGAATATCCATTTTTAAAGAAGTAGAATATCCATTTTTGTTAATTTGTTGCTGAGTGTGAAAGAATTTCTTGTGAGCTCTAATACCCAAAACTTCTTTTCAGAAATTCGTTCTTGACAAGATCCATGAACTTTTCAATACTCTAGACCCCGAACACACAAGTGCTACAGAAGATGGAAAATTCTTAGAAAGGTTGGGATTTTGCTTGAAATCTTGGCTTAAATAGATATATGCATTACTTTTACTCTCAACTCAAGAAAAGACTTTCATTTCAGTCAAATGCACAAAGAACTGGTAGCTTTGAATTGTGAACTTTCACCAGAAGACTGCGAGAAGAAGTTAGGAAAAGAATTTGATAGCATTATGTCAGCATGCAAGGAAGAGAATCTGGCCAGCGATTGCTCAAAGTAAGAAATTTTCAATTATTTGCTTATCTAGTAATTTTTCATCAAAAGGACGGAATCATGAAATTTTGGTCTTAAAAACCATTTCTTGTTTAACCCTGTTTCCTTCAAAGTTTTGAATAATATTCACTATCAACGATATAGTTATTGAAAGAAAATTTTTTGAAAAAATCCCATCACTATTCCGATAACTATACTTTTAATATTTTTGTATTTATATTTTCGCCCCTTTATCGTATTAACCACAAATATCCAGTTTCTTTGTAGGTCGTAAAGCATGAAAATGTAGTATCAAGATTGCTAAAGGAGAAATAATTGGAGTTTATTAGAAGTTACCTATGTACTTTATTTTTTATGTATAGCATTCTTTCAGAGTTGATCCATTCATTCGTCCATGGGTTTATTGCTATGGTGTAGCCAAAGGAGGACAAAAAGAATTTGATCTTATTCACAAATTTTATGAGAAAGAAGTAAATGCAGCAGAGAAAAGACGATTACTAGAAGCACTAGCCTGTAGCAAGGAACCTCGTCATCTACGAAAGTAAGTCTTCTTAACCCAATCTCTTCAATTGTTTATTATATTCGTTAAGACTTCTCCATGACACTATACATTCCGAAACCAGTGCCATACCGATCTCGGATGTTGATACACTTGTAGGAAGTATGAACAATCAGCCTGTAGGAGCTGAAATTGTTAGCAATTTTGTGCTGGACAATTGGAAGGATTTGGTAGAACGGTAAGTTATTTCTTCAAATCATTTTGATCTTGAGATAAGTTGTTCCTGTTACAACGAAGTGAAACTAGTTTTAAAGGCAGTGGACAGGCAAAATGGACCCCTGTCAGATTTTGGTAGTTTCGGGTAGTGGACCCCCCAAGTACACCGTAGCCCCAACCCCAACTTCCAGTTGATGCGCTAAGTCTTGAAAAAAGCGCTTCAAACTTCCACCAATAACGCCCACTCAATGCAAGTGGGCGGGGTTGGTGGAGTTTTGAAGCGCTTTTTTCAGGACTTAGCGCATGAATTGGAATGTGGGGTTGGGACTACGGTGTACTTGGTGGGTCCACTACCCGAAACTACCAAAATCTGACAAGGGTCCATTTTGCCTGTCCGCTGCCTTTAAAGGCACCTATTTGATACAAAAAAGTTATCTTTACAGATTTTCACTCGATAAGGGTGCTCTGTCAAATGTTCTTCAGAATGCAATTCGTCTCGATAGTGATCGCGAAGTAAAACAAGTAAGTTTCATAGACATATTTCTGAAATTTTTGACATTCTTGGAGTACCGAAAAATCTGAGTTGAGCTACGGTCCGATTTTCTGCCTATTTTCACGATGAAACGAAGATTGAGTAATCCAAAAGTAAAATTTCCCTGAGCTTCTAAAAATACCCGATTGCCGAATGTTTTCGAAAAGCCTCGCAAGACACATTTATAAGCAGCTGCAACCAATTGAAAGTTTTCTAACGCTAAAAATATGGATCAACCTCGAAAAAATTCTGGATAGGAAATGTGAGGAACCCTGCTGAAATCGAGTAACTCTGATTCGCGAAGAGATTTGGATACTTACCAGTTGATTTGACGCATGTTCAAAATTACAAAATCTCAATTGTGATTGTTTGCTCTAATGGCTGAGAAAAACACAAATGCTCTTCTTTATAGAAAATCAGATTTTTGAAAAATTTGAGTTCCACTACTCTTGAATGTCAGAACTATCTCAAAGAGCAAACAATGAGTTAAAACCTCATTTTTTCAATACCGCAAAAATTGTTGAAATCTCACATAGAGCATTCATGTTGGAACTTCGAAAGAGCTTATAAAAATCTTTTCGTTTTCTCACACAAAAAAAAACTGAAAATTTGCTTTTTACAAACTACATTGTTTATTGCAGGACAACCTTTATTGCACATACCACATGCTAAAAAAAATCTCGGGCTTAGAATGCCAAAATAATTATCTATCAATTATATCTATCAATTACATTACAGTTCGAACGATTCCTCACGGATCACAAGTCAACAACCGCTGGATTGCGAGCGATGAAGTTACAATTGGAAAAAGCAAGAAATCAAGTTAATTGGATGAAAACAAATAAAAAGGCGATGAAGGACCTCCTTAGCTCAAGGCATTCCGAAAAAGATTTGTAGTTTACAGGTGTAATTTTTTATTGAGCCAGTATTGTTGTGATATTATTTGTTTGTGATTCGATGTGTATCAACGCATTTTTTGATGCATAATGTATCAAATGTTTGAAGTATAGATGCTGACTTAATACTTAATTATTAAGCAGAAACTTACCAGTAGGGCCATAGTTCAATAGCGAATTGGAATCTTTCAAAAGATATTTCTCAGCATTCGAAGTATGCAAAGTCTTCTTCATTTCTGAAACAATGCTCACTTATCCTCTGTGAAGGTATTGTTCTCATTCACTTTCGTTAAATAAATAAATAATTTAGTGTTTTCTCTCATACACTGAATGGGAAGAGTCCCTGGAAGGGGATGATCCCCGCTTCTTAAAATTTGAAATATTATACAGACTTGTCTACTATGTTTGAAACCATGCAAATATTAGGTCGTTCCGAAAGTAATGTCGCTTTTTTTAAATGAACGCCACATTTCATGGAATCAAGAATTTCAAGAGTTCTTAGGAGCATTCGATGCAGCATTTCATCCTCTTTCTAATGGTTCTAATTTCACTGCATAATGTTTAGTGAGCTCTCGAAAAATTACCAAAATCTGCGACTCATGCTTTTTGCCATGGTCAAGTTCGGCTATTTTTCTAAATTTTTGTACCTAATCTTCGAAAAAGTACAAGTAACAAGTATGTCGAGCAAACGCTATAGAACACAGAGTAATTTTTTCTCTTCCTTAGCTTGCTTCTCAGAGTTTCTACAATCAATTTCTCAATACCATGAAATTCCATATTTAGTCAAGTCAAACCTCACAGAACAACAACCGGCAAGCGACTCGGGTGTCATTCGATGCAGCTTTTTCTCCTCTTTCTAGCGGCTGTTTTTTTGTTTCCGATCATCAAGTTTTCTGGGATAAAACCATCATAATTCAACTTTTCCAAGGCAACCCAAGGTGTAGCAGAAATTTTCGAAAGTTGCTAAACCAAAGCGGTAAATGCTCGTTTGGCTTGTAAAATTGTTGCCAAACCATAATCCATCTTTGTAAGTTTAAAAATCCGAAGATTTATGGGTGTTTGACGCAGTTGTGTCTAAGACGAGACTGCTAAAATTCGGTGGTTCTATCAAAAAATCTGTACAAAAATTATGACGAGCTCTGAAAAGTAGAAAAAAGTTGTGGTGTTTCCTGTAGGGTTTGCTCTATCTATCCATTGCTTGGACTTCTTCCGAGGGTTGTTATAGAAATTTAGAAAAATTTTAAAACTTGACCTTCTCAAAAAGCATGAGTCGCAGATTTTGACTCTTTTCTGGAAGCTCACTGACTGTATTGCAACATCTTTATAACCTTTAGAAAGAGAATGAAACGCTGCATCAAATGCTGCCAGAATCTCTTACACATCTTTGTTCCACGAGATGTGGCATACGTTTGAAAAAAGCGACATTACTTTCGGAACGACCTAATAACTTCTTTTATTGACAGTCAGTAGAAATTTTATTTCAAAAATTCGAATCCGTGTAAAAAGTCTTCAGTGTCGCAAATGTTGCCATGAATCTTCCTGTCTAAGTGTCGTGATTATAAGCTTGCTAAAAAAAGAAATATTCTATAAAAATTTTATAAACTCCATTTGGCCGCCTTGCCCTTCCACGGCTAAACAAATTGACATTTTTGGGAGAACCGCATTGACTTAGCGGAGAGAATAAGGCTTGCTAATTATTAGGCTGGCTAGATAACATTCACGTTTTGGCATGCAAATCTCCATTAAAACCGTCTCGTTATTTTTTACCCATAATTTTTAGAAAAGAGGTACCTCGAATCCTCTACCATCACATATCAACTAGTCAGAATCTACTATCAGCAAAGGACAGTTACACCCCAATATGGCAAAATTTCCAGAAGCTCAGTTCTGTGATGGATGTAGAGAGAAGTAATTTGATATTTAGATACATAAGAGTCTCCTCTATTTAGCGAATAAGAATAAGATCTGCTATTTTGAAACTCTTTGATCAAAAAACGAATTTTTCTCACATTTACAATGAGAAAATCGGGCGGAAATCGCATCCTACTCAAACTGAAATTAAATCTTATCAAAGTGTTCTTTCCAGAAATACCAAGCATGGGCAAAAAAATGTCTGCAGCATTTGTACGAGCCGCAAAAGCGACCGAAATCATTTACCAGCGAACCCAATACTTTTTCAAGCTTCAGGCTACAAAAAGGCTTCAAATAGCCTATACTCCCGTCCCAGCCCGCTTCGACAACTGCTATGTCAGGAAAAGCCGAAGCATCTTTATAGTTGAGAAATAATTCGCATGTTAGTTAGCATTAACCAACCAAAAGCTCTACTCACTGATTTAAAGGGCAGCTGTCAAAAATTGCTGTCGAGGCCTCTGCCTCCCTGTGAACGCTATAAAGTTCTTCTCATTTCCTTTTCGAGCCTCGACACGATATTGTCCGTATTAGGGGTAGTTAAAAAATATCTTCAAATCGGGCAATTAGTAGGTGTTCTGGTACTTCCACTTTTGTGATATGAGAGTTGGTTAACCACTTGTATTAGAGATTCATTTTTACTACACATTCAAAATCAAGAAAGCTGTAGATACACAAAGAGACAATCGATAGAAGTCTAATAAAACGATATACGGTCAAAGTATAGCACAATACAATTCAAACAACAGCAGCGATATACATGCAAAATATAAATCGCAAACCAAAGAAGCAATGATAACAAGCGATGAGACATAAAATAAACTGAACTTATTTGCATACAGTAACTTGATAAAACTAAAGATACACAAACTATGGACTAATAGTACTATAATACATGGAATTTGCATTATTTAAAATCCAGACTTTCCAAACCATCTTCGTTTGTAGTGTTTTCATAAGAGGTATAGAAAAATACGTACATTCTGGGAATGAGATCAGATATAACATGAATGTAGCTGCGATGTATGCGAAGAATTTGCAGCTGGTCTCCGAATCTAGCCTTGCAAGCTTCGAGCTCCTCTATAGAATGGTCAGTGGTCGAGCAGATCTTACCAAAGCTCCAGCTGCGAGAATGACGATATTGCAGGGCCGCCTTAGATGAAATGATTAAGAGTCAGTGAACATTTCAAAGTAAAGTAAACCCTGCCTCAATCATGGTCCGAATACCTCGGACTGTGAAGGAAGTCTCCACGTGATGGAGGAGAAGTTTACGAGGTAATCCAGTGACACACCAGCCGCGCAGCACTCGATCAGTCAGTAAAGGAAAGCTAAACTTGTGGCATAAGGCAAAAAAAATGAAAAAAATACTAAAACAACCCCAGACATACAAATAAGTTTGACAGAAAGGAAGAAGTGACTCAACAAAAAGAGGGAGGAAAAATAACCAGTTTGTTGTGGTCCACTCCTTGTATATGATTTTTTTCACAGTAATCAGGAAAATCTGAACCCTAGAATTCGAAACTAAGAAAGCTGCTATCGAGAAATTCCAGTAAGACAGGGTGATGACGCCTCAGGATATGCATATTACTGCATGTGCTGTGTATATAGACAGTACTCAGAATTCAACAGGTAAATGTTAGATAATAAAGCAAACGAAAACGAAACGAGCAAGTTCAAAGTTTACCTTTGCCTGCAGCCGTCTATCGAGGAGATTTCGAATTCACGTATTTGCGGATTTCTAGAGAAGAGTTCATCGGAAAGCATCTGAAAAAAAAATTATAATACATTTTCATCAGCGCTTGTTTCATGAAGAGTTGATTACTGAATCAAGACATTACTTACCTGAGCGTCTACAAACATGCAACGGCAAATTGCTAGCGACTGTAGGGAAACGCGATACATAGCTTTGTAAAATACGGCTTGGCTGAAATGTTGTTATAACATTATACTCTCCCAAAAACTATCTTCATCTTACCTGCACATTATTTTAGCATCGCGAATTCTTAATGAAATAATAAGTTTTGCTGCTGACAACCATAGAAGAAAGGAGTCGTTAATGACACCGGTGACCTCTACATAGTCCACCATGCTTCCGCACAGAAATGGAGAGTAGTGGGAGGTCTAAACATTTTGATCTTGAAATTTTGAGAATAAAGAAGTTGTGAAATGATACCAACGTTGATTATATCACTGATCTCCCCATTCTCGCAGGACGCTTTGAATTTCAGCCGTCCATCACTGCGATGAATAAGAACAAGGTGTTTGATGCTGTCCGGGGCAAGGGTAGCATTCTGACAAGGTAAGACGCCATAGGTCTAAATGAATTAGTGATTTGCCTTGCAGAAGTCGTTTCTCAAATCATGATCAAAGAATAAATGTTTGTTCCCACTTGGTTATCTCATAAAATATTTAGAAGTAGCTGGTAGTAGCAAGTTACTATAGAAGTGAATTCAGTTGTTAGCTATTCATCGAAAAATGGCTTCAAGAATCAGATTGTAATTTTGCATCGGTATAAGTGGTGAAAATGTTTGCAAAATGATTGTTATCAGAGGGCTAGACAATTTCCACAAAACTTAACCAAAATGTGTCAAAATGAGCAGCTTTGATTTACAAATAGTTATTTTAGTCTTTTCAGAACTGCGCTTCTTAAACAAAAGTGTCTGACTTCAGAATCGAGTGAAAACAGAAACCAAGTGTGTTTTCCAAATATTCAGGTGAATGCCAAAAAAAGGTAACTCACTCTAAATCGGAATGAAATAATTTCTTTTTTGATCTTTTACAGAACACCACAATTGGATTTAACAGAGTTATGCCAATTTTGAAAGCGATTTAATGTAGAAGCACTAAGAATCAACTCACTGAAGTACTCTCCACGGAACTGTAATCACCGTAGTCGACCGAGCTGTACTGATGATAATCTGCATACTCATTCTGTATTTTATCTGCACGCAAAGATAGATTTCCATGTCGTTTTCGGTGGAAAAATGATCGTGCCAGCGTAAGAAGCTTCATGTTCTAGCTAGAATGAGAAGATTATACGAAATTACTTGTAGAAATTACTTGTAAAAAGTAGAAAAGTATTGCAAGTGAAATAAGATATCTTACCTTTAGTAAACTGTCCACTCGAGGCAGGAAACGTTCTCGAAATGCTATTGGGGGCGTTACATCAACCACATTTGGGAAAATCTGATTGTCCCAGAGCAACATCATGTGGGATACCTTGAGGTGCGAATAATGCAGCCGAAGGCCGAGATGAGTGCGAGCCTCCGCTTTTTATTGCGATCTCTCGAGGATATTGACAAGTAAGATGGGCCTTCATCGAAAAGATGTGAAAACAAATTACATATACACTGTTCCAATTTTCTCTGTTCTCAGTTCTCACAAGCTCTTTTGCGTTCTCTTGCGATACGTTTCTGTTTACTCATGTTTTACAAGAGGGACGGAGTTCGTGGGCAAGATTTGCACAAGCGGCTTAAGCGATTCTGAGAAACAGTGCTGAGCTGGAAATCTTTGTTTGCACGATATTTCGTGCAGCGTAACGCGGCTGGCGCCTTCCTGGAAGCAGCATGCGCAAGCTCTTGAGTGAACACTCGACGGCTGCAAAGAGAAGCGATACAGACCACACACAGTGCACACAAGTGTTGCAGTCAGTGAGCGTGAAAATCTTTCTAGAAAAACTGCTTTTCACCAAATTGATTACTTCAACCATTAAACCTGATGAATTGACACCTTTTCATATGTGCAAATTAGAGCGAACGGTGAGCATAAGCATAGCTAAGTGAAAAAAACGAAAACAATTGCAACCTAAATGCAGAAAAAAGAAATATGGAAGCCTCAAATATACCTCGACCGATTTCATCGCCGTCGATGTCTTTAAATCCGACATTCATGGATCCCAAATTTATGTTGTATGTAACTTCCGTAAACTGATGAATTTCTCTTCCCTATAATCAAAATGGAAATGTAAAGAATCATTAACACTGAAGTATAGCCAAGGCATGGCGACTGGAATCACGTGAGCCATGCCTAGGGCCCAAAATTGTTATAAGATCCGATTACATGCTCCCATCGTTTTTTTTTTGCACTATATAAAAAGACGTCAGCTTATTTTTCATGGTCCCATGAAAAATAAAGCGTTCATGGTGTTTTCTCATGGTTATCTAATCCCAAATGCAATAATCTTTACTATAACTCATTTTTCAGCCGAAAATTTCTTATTTGCTGTCTTTCACAGAAACGCAAGCAGTACTGCGAAAAAAGATGACTCTACATTATTTGCTGATAACAAACTCCCTAAGCAATTAAGTTGAGTATCTAATACGACTTCACAACACCCAAAAGCCGGTCTTAAATACTTGGACTTGCAGCTTGCTTCCTATTGTACAATCCATGGTCTCCCGATTGCGCATGAAAAGCTCCGCAAAGACTGAAGATAAGTCTCAATAGCTCTCGCTGATCTTGCTTGTGCCGAAGTGCAAGCGCTTAGCAAAGACAAGAGCGCGAAAGATAAAAACTTGTTACATTCCATACCGTACTGCAATGCAAATATACTCCAACAGCGACTGCTCTGATAATTCTTGCAAGAAGAACGTAACCTGCCCGCTTTTTGTATTTTTAAAGCAACGAAGACTAAGGTTTACTACTAACTAATCAATGTTACTGCTCAAGGATATACTCGTAAGTCATAAACCTCACACCTACTTAGCGTAAGGTGTAATTACCTGGGAATCATATGCGAGGTAACGAATTTACAACCACCCGGCAGCTCGAGTATTCCTTGCTAAGAACCGCAATATTACCTCGAATAGGATTGAGTAGCTTATGCAGACTTCATAAATCACCAACTTTAGGAACTTTCTCTCGACATCTTCCCCACTATTCAAAAATTGTAATTAAAATTATTTAATCAAAGCTCACAGACTTGGAAACTCTAGAAAAATGCAAGGTGTTCGAAAATCAAGTGAATCTCGTACATTTTATTGAAAAATGCAATTCAAATACACATTTTGGATATGTTTACCACTGGAACGAACACAGAACAGCAAAATAATCTTTTTCTTTTTATTATTACAGAAGACATGGATCGATTTGAACAAAGGCAAGTCCATAAGGCGTTCTCGAATAGAATTCTAGAAGCACTTGCGATGGACAATGGATGGACCGGATTCATCGTATTCTTGCTTAGAGATCCACATCTGTTGGAAGGTAGACAGTGAAGCCAGGATAGATCCTCCAATCCAGACAGAGTATTTGCGCTCAGGTGGGGCGATAATCTTGATTTTCATCGTGCTGAAAGAAATGTTTATATGCATCAACGAAAACGATCGTTCAAAAAGCTATTGAGACCAGTTTGAAACTGATCCCCAAAATACAACATACCTGGGTGCAAGAGCAGTGATTTCCTTTTGCATACGATCGGCGATTCCGGGGTACATCGTGGTTCCTCCAGAAAGGACAGTGTTGGCATACAAGTCCTTTCGGATATCGATATCACACTTCATAATCGAGTTATATGAGGTTTCATGAATACCAGCAGATTCCATACCCAAGAATGAAGGCTAGAAAACAAGCTTGAGACATGCAGACTATATAAATAGCAGCTATCGATAAAAACTGTCTACCTGGAAAAGTGCCTCAGGACAACGGAAGCGCTCATTTCCAACAGTGATGACCTGTCCGTCGGGAAGTTCGTACGACTTTTCAAGAGATGAAGATGATGCAGCAGTAGCCATTTCTTGTTCGAAGTCAAGCGCAACATAGCAAAGCTTCTCCTAAAACGTGCTAACTGATACCAAGTTCGTAGCACACATCTTCAACAATTCTTTTAGAAGACAAACCTTGATATCTCGAACGATTTCACGTTCGGCTGTGGTTGTGAACGAGTATCCGCGCTCAGTAAGAATCTTCATCAAATAATCAGTCAAATCACGTCCAGCGAGATCAAGACGAAGGATAGCATGAGGCAAAGCATAACCCTGCATAACAGAAAGTTAGATTTTTCTTGAAAATCTTATACCCGGCCTTACCTCATAAATAGGGACAGTGTGGGTGACACCATCTCCCGAATCGAGTACAACTCCAGTGGTACGACCAGAAGCGTATAGAGAAAGCACAGCTTGGATGGCAACGTACATAGCAGGAGTGTTGAAGGTCTCGAACATGATTTGAGTCATCTTTTCACGGTTAGCTTTGGGGTTAAGTGGAGCCTCAGTAAGCAGGACGGGGTGTTCCTCTGGTGCAACTCGGAGCTCATTGTAGAAGGTATGGTGCCAGATCTTCTCCATATCATCCCAGTTCGTGACGATACCGTGCTCGATTGGGTATTTCAGTGTGAGGATACCTAAAATACTTATGATTTTAAACATAAGAACTACTCATTTCGGACACCATTAGTAAAAGATTCAATCCTCTCAGCACTGGCGCCCAAAATAGGTTCACTTTCCTAAGCTATATTTTAGCCCACACGATGCCAAACGGCTGGTGCCATTGATTTTTGTCCAAGATTTACTCAAATTAGATGTACACTTGTCATGAGCTTAGAGATAAACCAGCTAACGCATCATCTTCATTTGCCCGCCTGGAGTCGCAATCACGAATCCCTAATTTCCTGATATTAAGAGACTGTTCGAAACATTTTTTGTTAGATTTTAGGGATTACTGCGAAATCGCACTACCAGAATCCTGGTCTCCATTTTCATGTTTATTGGATCATTGCTCTCAACGATCGATACTGTATGCAGGTGGTACATCCAGCAAAGACTCTATGTTTTGAGAATTTGCAGACTCTTATTCTTGTGCATACTTTAGAGATGAAAATATGCTGGTTATGATGCTGTGGAACAGAAATTGCACGACAAGAGAGACATCTCTCTGCGTCAAAAAAGTGCGCCACATTTTCACATTCGTGGGTAAACATCGTTAGACTGAGTTAGAGTCCTTAAGTGAGAAAAGAGCATAGATAATGAAGACGAAAATTCATAGCAGAGCAGCTGTACCTCCTACTGACAAAGCAAAATCTTTTTGACCTTAAAGCATGATTCGAAAGACAAATCGTGTATTATCTTTTTGAACTGCGTTGCTGGATGTTCGAAATCTTTCTTGAACCTTCGCTACCATAAAAGTGACAGAACCAGTCAGACTAGCCCCTGCTCGTACAAATACTCCGTGTACTTTTCCCAAGAACTTTCTTAGTGTTCAAACAACGCTATTTAGACCAATTCTGAGCAGAGTTATTGTCGCAGCCCGTGCTAGAAATGATTTTGCAAAAGTGTTTTGCTACAAACTACTAAACCAGTCATGAAAGAATCACCTCTTTTTGACTGAGCTTCGTCACCAACGTACGAATCCTTTTGTCCCATTCCAACCATCACACCCTGATGACGAGGACGTCCAACAATAGACGGGAACACAGCTCGTGGAGCATCATCTCCAGCAAAGCCGGCTTTGCACATACCGGAACCATTGTCCACAACAAGAGCAGCTACCTCGTCGTCACACATTCTGAAAGGATTTTGTGTTGATAATGAAGGTGAAATGACCGTCTTAAGCTTCGGGCATAGTTCACGCAATTCTGCGCCTCGCGATTTCCCCCGCAAGACAACTATTACGGATCCATTGCATGCCGATCCTTTGCACTTCGGTTGTGTAGTTTTCCGACACGACTAACCGTGACTAACTATCACCACCAAAATGCAAGGTGATCGACATGCAACAGACCCGTAATAGTTGTCTTGTCTGGGGAGACGCGCGATAAAATTGCCTGAACTATGCCCGAGGCCTTACACGAGCGGCACAATAAGGTTCGAGTGCAGATTCAAGAGTGAAGGTTCAAAACTTCGCGCGCCCTGCCCTGATGAAACAGTGGACAGTGATTGAAAGCATTGCAACGTGTTTGATGAGCACGACGAATGAAGGGCATCGATGTTCGGCATCGATGACTCATCCGATTCTAGGAATCGCCATCATCAACGTCGCAAAACATTTGCGTCCACCGATGCTGCCGCTGCCGCCATCGCCGCTGCTGACACAGGGACATCGCCAGTGCCCCAACATTCCAACGCTGCCAACATCGGGCGATCGTCATTACTTCGGTCCAGATGTCGACAGATAGGGTCCGACTATCGATCTCAATAATTCCAGATGGGATACGTTACCCAGTAGTTGCAAACTGCTTGCAGCTACCCAAATACCAAGAAAATCACAGAGTAAGTACAAAAATGAGGCAGAAGGTCATCCATCACACACGCTGCGCAGAATGGAACTTGGTTTTCAAATTATTTAGAGAAGGCGCGCGAAAGTGGCCACTGCGCAGAAATCATGCGCAGAGCGTGCCGCGCATTTTGTTTAATTTGCTCTGCATGTTCTTCAGCCAGAACAAACAATTAGTTAGCCTTCTTACGCGAAGATGTCTGGATCTAAAACAACAAGAGAGTGACCAATGTGTTCACAACACATTCCCAGACGTTTGCACCCAGTCAAATTTGAATTCAAGAAAGGAGAGGGAGAGTTGAGAGACTGGAGATCAACATCCATTTTTTTAGCTCGATAGACTCGAAAAAGTCACATGCACATTTGTTGACAGGTATGAACTTGCTCTTCTGCTCTTTTCGAGTACTAACATGTCCAAGATGAAGTAGAGCACAAGTTTCAACTTGTTGAGACACGTGCGCGTAGCGTTCTCGAATTTTCTATCCTGTGAACTCCACGTTTATCAAAAATAGTTTACATAAACTCCTGTACAAATAACTACGTTACCTTTTTTCCTCCTGAAAGCACGATCTGGAACTATTCAATTTCCAGTTATCGATCGCGCTTCTACATTAAAGGGCTCACAGCCAGCGTTGCCATACCAATGTGTACAATGTAAACTTCAAGTACAGACTGCAGCTATGTTTCCAGGGATAGAACGATATTTGCCTAAACGCAACGTTTGTTATGCATAAAAATGGACAATGATTGGAGTGATAGGTCCTGCAAAAGTTGCTTTACTGCTGGAAAAAGGTCGGTGATGTGACTTATATTTTTCAAGCTTTGGTTATAGAAATTCTCACTATCAGACTGGTGGAACTTCTAGAATCTCGAAAACTTGTTGCTGATTAGGGGGGTTGTCAAGTGAATATGTAAGTGATTCTTGATAAATTTTTGGACGTTTTTCTAAAAATAGGATGTTTCTGAAATTTTTTCTCATTTTGAAGTCCTCGAACCCTAATTATCTTCACATCTTGCCTGAACGAACTTTTCTAGTTTTTGCTTTGTGACCTTTAGTGCTTTTACCCATGCGGGATTTTTTCACAAAGAAATCCCGTCAAAAAACTGGCAAAGTGCAGAGAACTTGTTGCGGCAGCCTATCTAAAAATTGGCTATTGTCTACTTTCATAAAATGTCCGAGTGCTATAGCTGGCTGCACTCTGTCATCTGGCAAGGGCAAGAAAATCATTAGCTTCTTATTTCAAAACAAGCGAACAGGCTAACGTCAAATGAGGAGGGGGTAGTAAACAAAAGACCCTTTCTATCATTTTGACAAAAATAATTCGCAGTCATGGTTGGCAGGTTCTCCAACAGATCTTCCGCAAAAGTCTGGTAAACTTGAAGGTTAATATAATGACCTTGCGATGTCTACAACACTTGCGCTGGAAAAACTGTCTTGATTCCAACGCGACGTTTGCGCGTAGAAATGGTTATAGAGCGCGCATTTCTGATTTTTCCGCATCATGGCCGTTTTTCACGCACAGATGTTGCCGTCGTCGCAGAGGCACTACATAGACCATCAAAGTAGTTGACTATGTTATTTTTCCATAGGAAAAGAAAGATTAGTAGTTCTACTATGCGATACTAGATTCGATCTACATTAGTAGGCGATGCTGTTCTCATACAGCGGAAGGATCATCTCGCGTAATTGCCGTGTCATTCGCACTTTGTTTGGGACAAAAAACGAGCACGCTGCGATCTGTTTACCGATTCGGACTCTGTAGAACTTTACTTTTTCGAACAATCACGGTACTTGAGAACAAGTTTTCTTAGTGAATCATTTACTTGTGACGGCTTAGAATGTTTTTGGGTAAAGTAGGAGGGATTAAGGTCGAAAGTGAGCATTGGTGCCACTATAGTTTTTGCCAAAGGTTCTGAAGTGTGGCTATGGAACCAAGCCAAGGTGCAGCCGATTAGAGATTGAAGGACAAGAACTCATTGAAGGGGGTTTTCGCAAAGAGAGCAGACGAGTGTGCGGATGTGACAGAGCCGGAGTGGAAGAAGTGTTTCGAGTGAACGCGAGAGGGGCGCGCAGCCCCCCTTCTCGGCCCGACTGTATGTCGCGTCGAAGAGGGGGGCGGCGATCGCAGGAGGAGTGCTCTTTTCTGAGAATTCGCCACCCTACAAACATACGCACACCACACACTACACACACAGACGGACTCACACTCACTCAGCACTACTTGTGACAGATGACTGTTCTCACTCACGCCGATGATGCGCGACGACGCCCTACTCAACCTGTGAGAGAGTTAGGCGCGGAGTTTCCGGCTGTTGATACGAAATACATGGGAAGACTTCGTAATGCTAAAATAGGTATGAGGTAGACAGGACTAGTCAAAGGAGTTTTTTCTGTACTCTCTCATTAACAGCGAAAAATACACGCCTTAGGCCTAAGGCATACTTCCCGCGTCTGTCAAATCGCTACATCCGCGCAGCTTGGCGTTTTGCCAGAGTTCTACAGATCAATCGTACGCTAGTGTCAGATGCACAAGCGTGGAGCTTCTGTAAGTTCTCGCAAAAGTATCAAGTCTGGCCCAAGCAAAGTGCGCTTAAGAAAAATTACGAAAAGTCGCTGCAGTGCAATTGCGTAAGGTATGCCTTAGGCCCTAGGCATACCTCACGCGATTTCAGTCGTGACGCGACTTGGCAATACTCCAGTTGCTTATAACTCGTCGCAAACTCAATTTGTGCACACGCAATATTGCACATTTTTTTAACTCACAAGAGTTGAATAGACCAAGCATTTGTGGCTGCGAGTGCTGGGTTTGAAGAGATCTGGCAAATGGCCAAATCGTGTGGCGACTGAAATCGCGAATGGTATGCCCAGGGCCTTAGACCTTAGCATCATATCACATTCGGATACGGCGTAATGGCGCAGCTTCGGCGTAAGGCCTTGGGCATACTTCACGCGTTTTTAGTCGCCATGCGATCTGGCAATTTGCCATATTTCTTCAAGTCCGACACTAGCAGACTACAAATGCGTAGTATGTCTGATATAATGCTCTACTTTCGTACATGAATGCATTTATGATAACTTTAAACATCTAAAATATCGCCAAATCGCGTGAAGCCCTGGGCCTGAGGGAATGTGAAATAGGAGGTAAATAGGACGTTTGGAGTCGAAGTTTTAAAATTGTCCATAATTTTTTGGAAATCCGTACAATGAGCGCGTAAACAAGGCGGCATGGGCATTCCAATGACTCAAGTATTTGTCATATAGCCAAGGCGAGTAAACATGCGGTACTGCAAGATTGCTCATAAATTTCGAGAGTATAACAAACCGATCTGTTTAATGGAGTTCGAGAATAAAACTGCTGCACCAAAATTTCACGTTATCGCTTTGTTTGATAATGCTTGATATAAAATATTTACCTGTTTTGGTAGCTCCTATTCTCAATACTAGCATCTTGGTTGCTCCTGTTCCCAATACTAGAATTTTGGTTGCTCCTATTCCCATTAATAGCATCTTGGTAGCTCCTATTTCCATTACCAGCATTTTGAACAGTAGTACGTTCTCTAATATAGAAGAAATCCGCAGAGCTTTCTTGCACTTCCATTGTCTTTTGCAGAAGAAGTCTTCGGTGTTGTAGCACAGAAAGCTTGATTAAATTGGGAGGGGTAGTGTAGGCTTGAGTTTTCCACCGCAATATGTAGAAGGGCGGTTCAAAACTTCTATAGAAGGATATTTATACCTCCATTTTCTCGATCATACCCAAACTCAGTGTTTGTACTACGTGGGTGGTATGCTTGCGAAAGAAGGTGTTGCATACGTAGAAGTGAGTAATGAAGGTGTAAATAAGGGTTTCGTGATCATGAACTCGAACGGTTATGGTAACGCTCCTTTTTATATATCTCAAAATTCGTTGTATAATGTACAAGCAAAAAGATATCATTTGCAGAAGTGTAAAGGCTACGTGGGCTGGAAAGTTCGGGTCCAATGTGCAAAATTTGGAAGTTGTAATCATTTATTTGAGATGATAATAATAATTCCAAAGTATCGTGAGATTGGTCAATTTGTGAATATTTTCCCGCTGGAATTATGGTACGTCGAGGTCTTCCTGACAAGAAACTGTAAACATGTCCAAAATGCTGGTGAAATTCACACAGAGCAGTGGATTCATTTGAAAATATGACATTTAGGGACCCATCATACTTCGCCGAAAAAAGCCCAGAAAAGTCCAGAGAAGCCCGAAAAAGCCCGAAAAAGCCCAAAAAGCCCGAAAGAGCCGAAACGCCCCTTCCGTTTTGAGGCTAAGGCATGTGTGCTTATTCCGCAACCGAGTCTTTGCTTCATTTTCTGTCGTCTGCACATCAAAATGGGTGTATGTCAAGAGGCGCGATTTTTGTTGCCAGATGGATACCAAATAGCACATGATAAGTGTTTTATAACTTTCTAAATTTATTCAGATTTTAGAAGGAGATATTTTAGATAGTTGCATGGATTTTTCAATCTTAATACCTTGGAATCGAATCAAAACAGCAATTTTAAAGGTCAGAAACCCATGAAAATGCAGTTAGGAACAATTTCGTAACTATTTCGGTCCGTTTCATAAGAAAAGCCACCAAACTCAGCAAGTGGTAACCTCGGACATATAGTAAGCTAATGCAATTTATCTGGTTAATTTTTGAAGACTCGCATGGCACCAAACTGACGTTTTATGTTGGTGACAGCCACAGAAATCGCGCCTCTTGACTGTCTCCCCATCAAAATAATGTTAGAATTCTACCAAAAGTTCGTTTCTGCGTTCCGGCTCTTTCGGGCTTTTTCCTACTTTTCTGGCCTTTTTCCGGCTTTTCTGTTTTTCTTCGGCTTTTCTGGCTTTCGGCTTTTCTCGGCGAAGTATGACGGATCCCTTAAAAGATTCCCTGTTGGTTCCCCTCTCAATGGTTTATGACACAGATGTGGACGTATAATCCTTGAAAATGTGCAGCTGATGCAACAGATCTGCAAAGACCGATTCTTGTATAACTTCTCCCTCTCTGAAATTGATTCGCGAATTTTTTTCGAGCGGAGTTTATGGATGGCAAATGCATGCAATTTGGTTACTTATGAATACTTTGAAAATTTTAGAATTTTGTGAAAACAACGTTTCGTGGGAGTATGCTTGCGCAGGAGTTCTTTCTAAATTGCAAAGATTAAAACTTTCGAAAAATCTGTATAGCATCGCGAAGCTTTTTTTTTTGAGGTCGCCCACGAAAATAATTTCTGGAATAGCACTGCTTTGGTGGTTTGTTCATCTCCCATGGAAGACATCTCGGTGAAATGCTTTCAAAACTATATCATGAACACTGATTTGCGCGAAAATTAAGCAGATGTAGTTGAACCAATGTAGACAATTCAAGAACTGCGTTCAAAGAAGCAAAGCGCTCGAAGCCCTTTTTACAACAACAGGAAATGAAGAAAAGGTTATACAAGGCATCATCAACGACGCCCCAGTTACTGCAAACTTTGCACTGCTTACAGTATTCCTTTTTGTGTAATATATCAAATAAATAGTGTACACTCTGAGGCAAGATGATCTAAACAGCTGTCACTTACAAAAATTCTCTATTGTATCGCACATGAGATAAGTATACGGAAATCCAAACAAAGTTGTGAATAGGGAAGAGGTATTGGAATCCTAATGCTCAAAACTGAATTATGAGCTTTGAATTATGCCCTGAAAGATGGTAGGAGAAACAGGTTAAGCAACAACTACAAGCAAGATCACAGTATTGTAGATTTGCCACTAATAGATTTTTCGACAGTG